AGGACTGCATCAACCTCTCCTGGTCTGCTCCTGCCAACACAGGCGGCACCAATATTCTTGGATACAATCTTGAAAAGCGCAAAAAGGGAAGCAATCTCTGGGGTCAAGTTAACCCGCCAGAAGAGATGATCCGAGGTTAGTTTATATGTCCTTAAGTAATATCTATTATTGATGATTAGTATTATTTTTTAATTGTTGTTTTAAACTGCCACAGCAAAAGGCTTTGCTGTTAAAGATGTGGTAGAAGGAATGGAATACGAATTTCGTGTGGCAGCTATAAATAACTCTGGAGCTGGTGAATTCAGCACACCTTCGGAATTTGTCTTTGCCAGAGATCCCAAAAGTAGGTGGTAACTTGGAAATTTAGAGTCAGTTATGTTGCTAAGCCAATCCTGAAGAAGTCGTATTGATTTATGAACCGTGCTTTGCAGAGCCTCCCGGAAAAGCCATCGATTTCAAGGTGACCGACTCCAGCTACACAAGTCTATGTCTGTCTTGGATAAAACCCAAGGAAATTAAGGGGGTTGAGGATGAAGCCAAAGGATACTTTGTGGAGATCCGTCCCGCAGAGAACACAGAATGGAATCGTTGCAATTCCAACTTAGTCACCACAAATTTCTTCACCGTGAAAAACATGAAGTCAATGGCCATGTACTGGGTGAGAGTGATCGCTGTCAACGATGGAGGAGAGGGAGAACCACAAGAACTGAATAACTACATCCTTGCTATGCCGCCTCCTGGTGAATAACTATCATTTCCCTTTTGCTGGAGTGGTTGAAAGCTAAGTGCCTGCTTCGATAAATACAGAGAATGGCTTGTATTGTGCAAATCTTCCCATTGTAAAAAAACTGTAAAAAAAATCTGGGCTTTTCTGCTCCTAGTGAGACCTCGCTTCACCGACACCAAAATTAAGAGTTTCATGGTGGTGCAAGCCGGAAATTCAGCACGGCTCACAATGAACTTTGAGGTAAATGTCTTAAGAAATGAGGGCCATCCAGACGGAGAAAAGCAGGAATGACTCATGCTCGAAGAAATCTATTGGTCATTATCGTTTTATATCACCTGCAGGCCTCCCCTTGGCCCGAGGTCACATGGCTGAAAGATGACGTGCCGGTCAGTAAAAAGGTGACCATTAGCAATGCGGAAGGCACGTCGCAGCTCTTGATTCCCTCTTCCGAGCGCTCGGACTCCGGTGTCTACACCATTGTTGTCAAAAACATTGTCGGTCAAGAAACCTTCAGTATTGAAATAAGAGTCACAGGTGAGCGTCACAAAAGATGTCCTTGAATCACGACGGCGTTCTGTTCCTACGAAGCCAACGGCATTTGAATGTGATTGTGGTTTGACCGTAATTATTATTTTACTTCTGTGGTGAAATATACTGTTGGTTAGCGATGGACATAGGCTACACAGGACAGTCCAAATTCGAGATAGATCACCACTGTAAACTGAAGGCAGCCTTTGCAGTTAAACACAAAATCATGCACATTGTGCAAGTTTTTTGCATTCTATCAACTTAATTAACAAACAATTAGAGGTGAGGCAGACAGACAAGCAAGGGGGCATGAGGGAAAATAATATTTTTTATATTTGAAGACATTGATCATATTCATGATTTCTGTCAATCATCAAAAATGATTTAGGAAACAGATACTGTACATATAAATCTACAACACTTTATTCTATAAATCTCTGTAAGTATTAACACTTTGAAATGGTCACTTCACTGGTGAGGATTCACTGAGGCTTCCCTGGAATCAGATACTTAGAGTAAAAACATTGTGTTTTCTTTGAAATTCTAGATGAGCCAAAGCCACCGGGCCCAGTGGAAATGGAAGAAAATGTGCCGGGCACGGTGACCATTTCGTGGGCGCCTTCTCCAGACGAGAAACGTGATGACAGGCTGCATTACATGGTGATGAAGAGAGACTCCAGCAAGCGAACTTGGAACACGGTGGCAGATCACATCTTCAATAATAAGTTCACAGCCTGCAACATAATGCCGGGCAGAGAGTACAGGTTCCGTGTCTATGCAAAGAATGACATGGGCTCCTCCAAACCCACCGAATCACCAAAATGGCTGGTACCAATCAAGAAAGGTACGTACGCTAGCGGGTTTTTGTGCAAAAAGAACATCATTCACACGTACGCTTTTCTTTAGAGAAGTTCACAGTCAACATGCCGCGATCCAAAAGCTGCGATCTCCAGTGCCCACCAAAGTTTCTCGTCCCGCTGAAAATGCACACCGCTCCCCAAGGATACGAATGCTACATGAGCTGCGCTTTAAAAGGGGACCCGACGCCTCACGTCACGTGGCTCCGCGACAACATTAGCCTGAATACCAACACCAATTACTACATCTCCAACACCTGCGGAGTCTGCTCTCTGCTCATACTGCGGGTCGGATCCAAGGACACCGGAGAGTACAAGGTGGTCGCAGAAAACCCCATGGGGAGAGCAGAGTGCTCTACCAAGTTGACAGTTCGGGGTAAGTCTTTACCAGAGGATATTTCAACAGGATTTGGCTGCATTGAGGAAAATAATTGAAACAAATCTCTCTGCTTTTTAATTTTGTTCCAGAGTAAAACATACAGAAAAAAACCCCAGAAGATGAAGGACCTGTGACCGAAAAAAAGAAAAAAAATATGAAGCTATCACTCGCATGACATGTATGCTGATCTTCAGTATTGAAACAAATCCTTTCTTCTTGGACACACCCTTGTGAACTAGTTATATTGAAGACTGTGTAATGACTATTTAATTAAACACCAGAAAAAAAAAACATTTTGATGGTTCCACCAAGTAAAATTGCTTTACAAATATTCTAAAAAAAGGTTTCAGATGACACAGTGCATGCCTAACCACAAACAATACACGGGAAATATATTCATGTTAAATGCATTTTAATCAATGATGACTGTCCACACACTGACTTGGTTAACTCCCAAAGCACTCATCAAGAAGCATGAATCATTGTTTTTGAATTAATGTAAATAAAACTTTTTGACTTGCAATCAAGAAGTGATTTTTTTAAATACACCAGAAACATTAGTAGCATTACAGGAGCATTACCATATTACAGTGGCGGACCCTGAGGGCCAGCAAGGTCTTCTCTGCTGGCCTAAACATTCTCAGAAAAGTAAATTTACTTTTATGTATTTTATGTTATTTTATAATTTATCTTATTTTATTTTCATAAATATGTAAACAAAATTATTCTCTGTATTCTTTATGTCATATTATTTCCACTTAGTTGAGTGGCTTTCAATGTTATTTTAAATAACATTGAAAGCCACTCGATAAATAACTTATTTATTATGGTAGAGTTTTTAACCAATCATATTTCAGCTAGCTTGCATTGCCAGGTAAATTAAACTTGCTCGGAGCCTTCAGATTAAACAGAGCAGGCCCCTGTGCGCTGTAAGTGAACGGGCACAGTCAGGTTTCAATAGCCAATCAGATCACGAGTCTGAGACTCGTGATCTGTTACCTGTATCCTGACTTGTTCTCGTCTGCGTACTAGGGCTAGCGAGAAGGCCTTACGTCGAGACTGGCCGTGCGCGTTCGGTGATTGGATTAGCGCCTTTTCTGTTTCCTGA